GTATAAAACATTCATATTTAAGCTCGTTTAATTTTTACTGTTTTTAAATACTATTATGTCATTTTAAAGTTAGCAAACATTAACTTATATGTATAATTTGTTGTAGCTGGCGATAAAAAGCATTCAGGTATAGTATAGACTAGAGCTACCGATTACACATGTAACACGTGTGGTTCGAATTGACGTGTAGAAGTTCGTGTAATTATAAGTACACGTCTACTTGCAACTACAAGTATTCATAAAACTGTAAGTTTTAATAAGACCTCTTATTTACGTAATACTACTCTTTAATTAATGGTGGTCACTTAGATATAGTATTATAGCCATTGGGTCAAGTTAGTGGAATCTAGGGTCCTACAAGTGTATTAATTACACGAACTTCTAAACGTCTGTTTGCGCATAGGATCTTACGGGAAGTTGAACTAAAAGTAAGTTAATTTTGCACTAACAACGACTAGTGGACTGTATCATTTTACTATATAAAATTTATTATTTTTCTTACACAACGGAGCGGCATAGTCAAGCTTGCCCGAGTTCGCGTGGCTAAGCTTATACATTAAATAAACCGGTCCTAACAATAACGCGTACAAACGGTCTAGCCGATTACGATAAAAGGTAGAAGGGAGCAAACTCAACAACGTCAATTCGAACTACACGAACCTTGTCCTACATGTGTTTTTAAAATACACGTGTAGAATCTTCGGTCCTAGTATAGACTGTAGAGTTACCTAGTGTGAACCCTTTTCCTAACACTATAAGTTCAAACCACCAGGAATACATGAGATGTGTTAATATTTATTTACTGGAATAAGTATAGTATCCATCTTAACAGTTTTAAAATCGTGTAAAAAATGTTATATTTAAAGCTATTAGTTTCTTACATATTCACTATTAAAAATGTATTATTATTAAAAATTCTCAAATATATAAAAAATGTAATTTTGTTTGTTAGGATGGAGTTTAGTAAGAAATGGTATGTTGTTCGTCACTTATTACTTTGTTTCATTTAATTTTGTTTGCACAATTGAACTATGGTACCAACAATAATGACGAAGAAAGCTAATTTATCTTGGACATCTTAAATCTGTTGTTCATTTATTTTGAAATGTTCGATTATTAATAGTTCTATAATCGAATATCTTTGAAACAAATTAATCATGTTGTAAAATTTATTGTAATTTATTATATTATAATAAAACACATATTTTATGTTCATGTATATTGTGCAATATTTCAAACTTGACAATCAATTAACAGCTTTTAATAAACCCTGTTTCGAAAATGTGACCCACTTTTACTTTAAACTAATTTAGTGTGATATTATTTTCATCAAGTTATATACCTAGGCATAAAGGTTAGCATAGTTGTGCTATTTCTATTAGATTTCATCATTTAAAAATGAGCACTAATTAATTTTAATTTATAATCTTTTAGCATTCAATTTGGTTCACTATATTTTGAACTTGATTGAAATCCAAAAACACAGTTTCCGTTTGCGCTGAATAGACGATTGCGTTAGTCGAATTAGCAAATGTCCCTTTTTTATATAATGGAATTTATAATTTTCTTCCAAGGAAATTCCTTGACCGCGTCTTGATAATGTCGTACCCTTTTTTATATACTTTAATATAAATTATATTATTAAATATCACATATTTTTTGTTCATGTACATTGTGCAATATTTCGATCTTGACAACTAATTAGCTGCTTTTAATAAACCCTGTTTCAAAAATGTGACCCACTTTTACTTTAAACTAGATTAGTGTGATGTTATTTTTAACAAGTTTTGTACCTTGGCATAAAGGTTAGCATAGTTGTGCGACTTCGATTAAATATCATCATTTCGTGCTCATTTAAAAATATGCACTAATTAATTTTGATTTATAATATTCGTTATATTTTAAAATACCTAATATTCTTTATTTGCTTAAAAGTTAGCGGATTGGTCGAAATCTTTAGATGTGGAACGCCTAAGACAACAGAAACAACCAACGTTTTGAGCTCTTCCAAAAGTAATAGTTACTTATGTTTTAAAGATAATTATTTTACATAAAAAAGTTAAACGTTATTTATTTGGTGATTCACTTGTATAGTCTTAAAACATAAAATTGCATCGTTTAGCATTCAATTTGGTTCACTATATTTTGAACTTGATTTAAATTCGAAAACACAGTTTCCTATTGCTTTGTATAGAAGATTGCGTTAGTCGAATTAGCAAATGTCCCTTTTTCATACAATGGAATTTATTATTTTCTTCCAAGGAAATTCCTCGACCGCGTCTTGATAATGTCGTACCCTTTTTTATATACTTTAATATAAATTATATTATTATATATCACATATTTTATGTTCATGTATATTGTGCAATATTTCAATCTTGACAATTAATTAGCAGCTTTTAATAAACCCTGTTTCGAAAATGTGACCCACATTTACTTTTAACTAGATTAGTGTGATGTTATTTTCAACAAGTTATGTACCTAGGCATAAAGGTTAGCATAGTTGTTCGACTTCGATTAGATATCATCATTTTGTGCTCATTTACAAATATGCACTAATTAATTTTAATTTATAATCTTCGTTATTTTTTAAAATACCTTATACTTTATTTGCTTAAAAGCTTGCGGATTTGTCGAAACCTTGGGATGTGGAATGCCTAAGACAACAGAAACCACTGACGTACCGAGCACTTCCAAAGGTAATAGTTACTTGAAATTCGAAAACAAAGTTTTCGTTTGATCTGTATAGACGATTGCGTTAGTCGAATTACCAAATGTTCCTTTTTTATATTATGGAATTTATTATTTTCTTCCAAGGAAATTCCTTGACCGCGTCTTGATAATGTCGTACCCTTTTTTTATATACTTTAATATAAATTATATTATTATTTATCACATATTTTATGTTCATGTATATTGTGCAATATTTCAATCTTGACAATTAATTAGCAGCTTTTAATAAACCCTGTTTCGAAAATGTGACCCACTTTTACTTTTAACTAGATTAGTGTGATGTTATTTTCAACAAGTTATGTACCTAGGCATAAAGGTTAGCATAGTTGTGCGACTTCGATTAGATATCATCATTTTGTGCTCATTTACAAATGTGCACTAATTAATTTTAATTTATAATCTTCGTTATTTTTTAAAATACCTTATACTTTATTTGCTTAAAAGCTTGCGGATTTGTCGAAACCTTGGGATGTGAAATGCCTAAGACAACAGAAACCACTGACGTACCGAGCACTTCCAAAGGTAATAGTTACTTGAAATTCGAAAACACAGTTTTCGTTTGCTCTGTATAGACGATTGCGTTAGTCGAATTACCAAATGTCCCTTTTTTATATTATGGAATTTATTATTTTCTTCCAAGGAAATTCCTTGACCGCGTCTTGATAATGTGCTACCCTTTTTTTATATACTTTAATATAAATTATATTATTATATATCACATATTTTATGTTCATGTATATTGTGCAATAAAGTTAATGATCTTGAAAGGTATAGTATAGACAGTAGATTTAGCATAGTTGCCTAATGTTCACTTTCTTTATTATGTTTGTAAAATGTAATAATTAATTTTCTGTATACAATTAACTTAGTTCTTTTTTTATTAAAAAGGTTTTAATGTTAAAAGTCCTCAAAAAAATAAAATTCGTTTTTTTTTGTATTTTAGCGCGTCCTCCGCGCATAAAAGTATCAAACAAAGGATCTTGTACATGTTTTGTAGGTAAGTATACTACAGTCTAAGGCTAAGTTCATTACATATTTTTAAAAATAATTTTTTTAATTAAAATAGTTATCCTTATTAGTTTGGTGATTCTCTCTTCTTTGAAGAGAATTCCTTGACAACTGTGGTCCATCGTAATGAAACTTGTCCTCTACTAATACTACTGTTTGAATTTTATTATTATGATTGTCATTATATTTTAAAATATAATATTTTGTTAATAATTTTCATATATAATATTAAGTTAATATAATAACGTTTTGTATCGTGTTTAGAACTTCCTGAGAGAGACCAAATTAAGTTGTTAACATTAATTCTGTATACCATTAAGTCAATTATTTTTCTTATCATTGTCTTTTTCCCCCTGTGATTTTCAACGAACTCTTTCTCTAATACTATAAGTTGAAACCATCATCATTACATGAGATGTGTTAATAATCTTCCACAGGAATTAGAACAGTATCCCGCTTAACTGTTTTAAAATCGTGTAAAACATGTCACATATAAAGCTATTATTTCCTAACATATTCACTATTAAAAATGTTTTATTGTTGATATTTCTTAAATAAATATGAAATGTTTTTTTTCTTTTTTAGGGAGTGAGGTTTTATCAGAAGATGGTATGTTTTTACAAAAAATATATATATTTGTTTCATTGATTTTTGTTTGTGCAATTAAACTATGGTACCGAAAATGTTGACGACAAAAGCTTATTTTTCTTGGACGTCTTAAAACTCTTTTTGTTTGTTTTGAAATGTTCGATTTTTTTTGAAACAATTTAATCATGCTGTATTATATTTTTTTAAAACACAACAAACTTGACAAAAATTAACAGCTTTTAACAGAACTTTGTTTCAAAATTATGACAGACCTTTACTTTGAACTGGGTTAGTGTGATGGTATCATCAATAAGTTATGGACCGGGGCATAAAGGTTAACATAGTTATGCAACTTCTGTTAAATTTACACAATCCATGCGTGTGTGATGATTGAAATTCGAAAACGCAGTTCTGTTAGCCCTATAAATACGTTTGCGTTTCCGAGCATTTCTTATTTACGTATCAGTTAAGTTAAGGGAATTCCTTGACCACGTCTTGATAACGTCGTTGAAACGTTGCCTCGCTGTCTGTTGTAATGAAACTTATTCTCTGATATTACCGATTTAATTATATTACTATTATTGTCATTATATATTAAAATATTATATTTTGTTATTCATTTTCATATATAATATTAATTTAATATAATAACGTTTTTGTATCGTGTTTAGAACTTGAGAAAGCTCGATATTGTATATTACACCAGTTGCCAACAACGAAGGGTGTCACCACGAATCCTTGTCACCATTGTACTAAACATTTATTAGGTAAACTAACCTAACCGTTATATAGATTGTTACATATACTTATATATATATATTTAGTTTTTATACTATAAAATATCATTCCTTAGAGGTTTTTTGTAAATACAAAACACAATTAATTTACATTGTTTTTTTGTAACATAGGTAACGTTATACAAACTTATTCTATTTAAGCTATGAATTAATAAGAATTTTTGTTTTTTTAATAGAAAGAATCCCATGACAACAATCCAATTTTGCAGAAATATACCATTAAAAATAAAGATGTAAATAAATATAAATGTAGAAAATTAAATTGTGTAAACTATTACTAAACAAAAAACATAAATTTCATTGATTCATATTAAACTTCATCTATCTGGCAAATTTAAAGTGTATTGTTTTCCTTTAGTGCAAGTTTTCAAACTTGGTTACTATTTTTGCACCCGATTTTATTATTGTAGCTTTGTTTAAGTACAATGTGAATATATCGTTATAGCCTGTAACAACATTTTTCATAATCTCGAAGAAGATTGTCTAGATAAATCGATGGATTAAATTAAGATATAATAATTGTGATTGGACGAGGCGCTTTAAATGTGACATATTATTTTTTAACACTCGGTTTTAAGTTTAATTATATGATTTAAGCTCGAAGGTTCGGCGAAAATATAAAAGTTTATGAATCGATACACGCAATTTCAATAACAAAATAGTAAATAACTAATACAGTTTACATAAAGCTTACAAATCTACCATTCCACCCGTCAACAATTTCAAATTTAAATATATATATATATATATTGTGCCATAGTTAACCATAGTTTTAGTTGGACCAAATTTGTTTATTTTGGACAGTTACATAAGCACCTTAAATTATAGGTTTAATAATATATTTAACATTTTGACTTGTTGTGTTCGAAAAATATCAGAAATATTTAAAATATTGGAAAATAATTTTACGCAACGTTTACCAAATTTGATTATTGCTAACGAAAATATTTATCCGCACACGTGGTTTTTTAGATACATGAATGTTCTGTTATTTTCCAAATAGCATTGCCATTTGCGTCATATATTAATAACACCTTTGCTGTATAGTTTGAATAACATTTATTATATAATGTATATTAGATCTATTTAAATGTTTATCGATACAAACGTTTCCATATTATATAATTGTAAATGTTTATAAAAAGAAAAACTAAATTAGAATTATTTAATAAAAGAGAGTCCCTCCCGTCCCTACTATGTCCGGACCCCACTGTACGGACTTTTTACCTTTTATTCGATTATTTTGTATACATTTTGTACACCACAATTGTAACATATTTTATAACACATTAACACCGTGATTTTAGTACGGTCCGGTGTAATAAAATAAATATTAAATTATTTTTAAAAAAATAATACCGATAATAAAATTCATATAACCTTTTCAAAAGGTTTAAAATGAATATAAAACAGGCGTAGAATACCACATGTGTTTTGACATAAGGTGTTAACAGAAAACAGTAAAAACAATTTATAGTAGGTAATAATGGTAACCGTAGTACCAAGTAAAACAAATATATTATTAAAGATTAAATAATTTATAGTCTAATAATTTAGTAGATCAAAACTGTAAAGTTAATAAAATTATAAAAAAAAATTAAATCATTTAAGATAGTTTTAAATTTGTTAAGTACCCTTTAAAAACATTTCAAATATAAAGCCAAAATCAGATAATTCACACTACGATACCATCAATCATTTAAATCAACTGTTGTTGTAGATGTTAAATTGTTAAAACAAGTAGTTTTTATACAACTATAAATAAACCCTAACCACAATAAAAATATACTTATTTCACTCATAAGTATATTTTTGTTGTGTGAATTAAACCGCAATAAAAAAAACTGTTTAATTAAACCATTATTATTCTTATGTATTGAAAAAGCGCAGTAGTAGTCTGGTCAACGGTTTTATATAATGCGGTGATGTTTTTGTTTTGTTTTATTATTACATTTTAGTTATGTATATACATACGTTATACATACGTTTAACGTGTCAAACTTAATAAATGTGTAACTCTAATTGTGAAATCACTCTACTATTTGTAAGTATAATGTAATGTCATACGAAAAACCAGTAAACCAGTAAATATATAATGTATATACTAGCTGCGTTAGGAGGCGTAACTCTGGTATAAATATATAATAATTAATTAATAGTAATTGGAAGTGAGTAGAATTTTTAAAAAAATAATTTTTTATATTTTGTTAATAATATTACAACAATTTGTTTGTGATCTGAGATGGAATATTATATTTCTAGAATTACACGAATACTGTACATCCCAATCATGTGTTAGGCGTAAAAACTACTTTAGGAACGTTCCATAACTTTCTGGATTTTTCTTGACAAAAAACTGTATCATTCTCGAAGAGTAAGCGTAATTCTATTAAAGAGTTAAGGGTAAAAATTACTTTAAGAACGTTCTAGGACGTTCCGGAACTTTTTCGAAAATGTCTGAACTCTGTAAAAATATTTGGAACATTCCTGATGAGTAAATATAGATTGCGTAGTGAATTGGACGTAAGTAGAATAGGAAAGGGATTTGTAGCTTGCTCAGTAAATATGCTTTTAGTTTTATTTAAAAAAAATGTGAAGTTGAGCCAAATATTTTTTATTAATAAAGGCTGTATAAAAAATAAATAAATGTGATGTTACAATAGTATTTATCATTATAATGTATTATTCTATGCATTCAGTTGAATAAAATAATTATGATAAATGCATTTGATATCTATATATTACAAATTGCTACCAGAATTTTTTTTTCTACGTCTTCGCGGCTCGACATAAAATACTGATGATTTTAGCTTCGATGCAAAGCGAGAAGGTATTGGTTTTACTCTGATGTGGGCTTTTTTTTTCGCTGTATACACTGTAACTTTTTTAATACTTGACCAATTCCTTCGAATAGCAACTCTATAAATATCAAAATTTGTCATGTTTGTACTTTGGGGGGGGGGGTAAAAGTTGAAAAAGTTTAATTCTTCACAGACCAAAGTTGAAAAAACAAAAAATAACCGTACGAGTTTTTAAGTTAGAACTTTTAATGGCTATAATTTCGAGAAAAAGAGTCGGATCGAGTTGAAATGTATAAGAAATAATTATTTGGTATGCCCGCACACGTCAGTTATGTCAAACTTAAACTATACCTATTTCCCGACCCCCTTTTTTTTTTTTTTTTTTTTTCCACATGCACCCATAGAACACTGGGGGGGGGACGCGCCCTGTGAGGAATTACTTCCCCCAGTCTCCGATGCCATTTATTGGGTATACTAAACAATAAATACAATCATAAACTTAAAAACTAACACACCCACTTCGGGTGGTGGCCTAATAACAATATTCACATTAGGCCACAACGAAATATTTCCCGACTCCCTAGGGGGGGTACAATTTTTTTTGTTTTTCGGGATTTTTAGCGGTAATTTTAAAACTTTTGGGTTGAAAATTTGCCAGTAGTTGGAACTCATATGTAACCATAACATATTAAACGGGAAAAAAAATTCGGCACTACAGTTTTTTTTTAATTGCCGGGAAACTGTGTTTTCGCAGATTTCGTATATTTTAACAAAAACACCTAAAATCTTTAAAAAAAATCGATCAAATCATTAAAACAATTTTATGTATATCTATGCAGAATGATACTATTAGGTTTTGTGCTCAAGTACCACTTTTTACTTAAAGTTTACACAAATTCAATTTTTTTTTATTTTTTTTTTAACTAAAAACCGGTGTACCAGATGTGAGAAACGAACAGACACTAAAAACTGTCAGTTGGTAACGTCTATCCGTGTTAGATTAGGTTAGGGCCCAATGATCGGTATCATAATATTGTGTTTATTACATGATATCACAGGCGACTAAATCGTGTAATTGATTATAGTAGAAACTCGATTTATTGGGAAAAAAACCTATCCGTGTACTTATTAAGACACTTAATGATTCTGATACGACAAAACCACTGTCGTTATCTCGTTATTTTATAGCCTGCGTTATATAACCTTACCGAAGGTCAACTATGAGTATATAAGGTACAACTACCTGCAAATAATGAAGAGGACTGTTGTTTTTTGGATTTAAATTAAGTGTTGGTTTTTATGCAGTATACCGCCTCAAAATGTATTTTTTCTTACACAATTTTTTAAAGGAAAACTAATGTTTTGTATATTGTTATACTGTTATTCATTTAAAGAGATTCACGCTTGATTGTTTGAATTGTCTAATATTAGATAATCTGCTTCGTGCTAATTTTAATTTTTTAGTTTATCAACTTGTAGCTCTAATTTTGTATAAAATATTTCATTATTTTATTACTATGTACTATTACTATTAAGATAAATTTTAATAATAATTAAGTCATAAATGATAATACTTTGTTTTATGACTAGATCAAATCTCGTGAACATTTAACATCATGATACTGCTCCTATGCTATTATTAAAAAAACACAATTTTTAAAATCTCCATAAAAGGTTATTGTTAAATAACAGGCAACAGCCGACTGCTAGTGGCTATACACGTTAGTAATATTTAACTAATAAGTAATATATGTTGGTAAAATTTATTGTTTTCTCCATCACAGTACCAGTATACGATTTATTTTAATTTAAATGTAAGAAAATCGATTTTTCTTTAGAAAATAACAAGAAACTAATATACAGGATGAGGCAGTAAAACGGCGATTTACTAATGTATTTAAATGGTAAAACCCGTTTCACTATCCCACCCTTTACATTTTAAGGATCTATGAAAAGGTTTTTTTAGTTGCATTTTATTTTGTACATTGTCAATCTAGTAAAATAGAAGTATAATATAGACTTGAAATAATATAATCTGTGAAGTATAAATAGTTTGTGTGAGATTGCTTTAATGGAAGTATATAATACATAAATATTAATTTTATTGAGAATAAGCGATTATAATTTAAACTATGGAGTACAAACGATTGAAACATGAATCGTCGACCA